TACGTCATACGTAAGAAAAGTGAACAAAATCGTTTCTAAAAGTGATCTATAATCTAATATCCTAATGCGACTTCGTGTATTGATTTTTTTTCGAACCAGAGCTTTCAAAACATATGTTGCTATCTCGAATGATATTGTGTCGCAAGATATCTCGTTCGTGGTGGTAAAGCAGATAAAAAATTGTCGCCTGGGATTTTGTTGACTGTCAACGACCAATTTGAACCTCGATCTTCTGTGATTTCTAATTTATTGTAACTGATGTCTCGTCATAAGCTTCGTCATTTGGTACCGAATTTAATTCCAAAACTGAAACTAAGCGATTTTCGATCATGCAAAGAAAAAGAATTTTATACGAACGTACTGGTCTAAGCGTACTTATAAATAAGTAACAAAAATGAATTTTTTGAAAGGAATTTGGGTTAAAAAGAGAATAAATTGCAAGCATTATGTTAGAATGGTTTGTTGTAATGACACAAAAAATATTTTCTACATAATTTGAATATTCTCTATTTCATATTTCTATATAAAATAAAATATATTATTTTATTGATTAATATATGATATTTATTTATTTATATGATATTAATTATGTATTATTTTTATTAATTATTACTATATTACATTTATTAATACATTTCATATTTATATTTTAATATTTTCTACGCAATATCCTGCAATAATTATTTTTTCCAAGATTGTTTTCTTTCAAAGTTTTCAACATTATCGATGTTTTTTTTTATATATATAATTATATATATTTTTTTGTTATATCGTGCAATTGGATGAGAAAATATATTCAAGTATGTACAACAACATTAAATTGGCCTCGGATCAAATTAATCCTTTGGTTTCTGAATTCTTTTTTTACTTAGGTGTTAACAATTCAGAATAGATAAACAAAGATTTAAAAAATTTAGTTTCTGTGACAAGGAAGTTTTTATTGCCATATGAAAATAATGAATATACGTGTTAGTAATTTCTGTAAGTATGACAAATTTCAAAACATGGTGTAATGCATAATAACATATGCAGATGATCTTCAAGACTGAAATTTTTTTCTCTATAATAATCTCTTAACACTTGCTGTACGATTTTTTTTTTTTTGATAAACCATTTTGATAAACTTTGAATATAAAAATTAGATGACATAATGTTGACGTAATTTCTGTTTCTTTTAATCTTAATATTATTAACGTTAATAGAATGAAGAAAAAAATCATATACAATAATTTTAAGGGATCTTTATAAAGAGGAAACTACAATCTTCAAACAAAATTAAATAAATTGAATTTCTACAATTTTCAAGAAAAAAATTTCCGTTACACAGTGTAGAGTCATCTTTGTAAAAAACGAACACACTGTTAAAATAGAGGCTTTACACTTTAAGATGAGACCAAATGAATCATGATATGATATATTTTTGCGAAGTTATATCAGTTGAAATTATCGATAATAATTGTTTCATTGATACAGTTATGCTGTTCACTGTAAATATCATAAAAAGCTCTGAACATGGATATTTTATATTTATATGTTATTTTACATTAGTTTTCAAAATCGTGATGAATCTAGTCATGAAAAAAAAATTTTTTTAAAGTATTTACAATCTTCAAGAATAAAAGTATCTTTACTTTCTCATTCACACACTCAGAACAGTCAAAATATAAATTTTACACTTTAAAATTGAGACAAAATAGATTATTATATGATTCTTTTACGAAGTTTAACAGTTTAAAGTATCGACAATGTTTCAATATGCTCTATGTTCAATTATACTCTTCACTCTAAGTAAAAATAATAAGAACGATCACAATAAGGATTGTTTATAATATACGCCACGTATAATATAGACCAATACAACAAATGTAAATATATTACAACTATACTCTTGAAAACTTAATCACCCAATATAATATTACATACTTTAGAAAGTCGATCTCAACGACACACCTTTCTTTCGATCATTTGTTGGTTAAATGTACTTACCAAAGGTGAAACGAATCATCCAACTTAATATTATGTTACACATTTTAGAAAGCCGATCTCAAATAGGGACTCACCTTCCTTTTGATCATTTGTGCTCTAACGTGAGCCTCGATGATATGACTCTTCCTCATGTCACCGACACGGAACATCAGACAGGGTTGGCCATCTCTTTGACAAATCACAGCATTCCTTGAAAACAGCAACGTCTGCGTTCTCTTCTTTGGTCGGGAGAGTTTCGCGAACACTATTCCGACCATAAAGGCCTGTAGGATCACACCTGTCATTGACTGGATACATATCACGAACACTGCCTCTGGACATTCGTCTGTTGGGTGTTTCGAACCGTACCTACGATTTTTATTTATCATCGTTAGAATCGTAACATATTAAAATGATTGGAAGAATGGAGTTGCAGAAAAATGACACCAGTGTAATTGAATTTAACGATCATTATCTGAAGAAACGAGCCTCAAACTCCAACGATCTTGATCTTGAGATATGTTCGAGAAAGAAGAGTTTTGAATAATGATCCGAACGTAAGTTCAAAAGTTATAAGAAAAATTACATTTGCCCAATATTAGGTAATTAAAAATAAAATTGCACGTGTATTTATACGATCTTAATATTTAATTAGTGTTTACTGATACGGAGGATGGAGTCGCTCAATCATCCAGCGATTGAAAAGTTTTAAATTTCACTTTGATCGAATCATCGAATCGAATCATAATTTAGAGAAATTTTTCAAAAAATATAAACATTGAATCGATTTTCAAAGCAAAGTCAATAAAGAAACTACTTATATCGAAATAAATATAATGTAACAAATACAATATTCTTTTTCTCATAACTTATTAATCACGATCGTCTCATGCCTCGAATAAAGTGCATATCAATCAAAGATTTTTTTTTTCACATAATTTAAAAGTATAGACGTTTTTCAATTACATTTTTAAACATTGCGTTAAATTAAAATTTAGGGAACTCAGTTACATAGAATCTTAAGGATGATCATGGGACGATTGAAAATCGTGATACAACTTCAAAGTTATTAAGAGATCGAGTATCATTAGATCATTTGAATTTTTGAATATTGATTACTTGTTTAGTCTAATCTTTGAAGTTTGGGGAATCTAAGATATGCAAATTTTAGGTCAATAGAATAATCATCACATCTTCTCGTGATCTATAGTTCCAAATGAGTGACTCCATAATTTCTTCTTTGAACGAATCGCAGCTGTAATCTAAATTCTCTTCAAGATCGTAAGATTTTTCGTTTGATCGTAGATTTGTAAAAATTTAGAATTTCCAGAAACTTTAGAGAAATTTTGCGAATTTTGAAATATTGAGAGTCGAGTCTCTGAGATTCGAATATACAAAATTCGAGGTTTTTAGAATTTTGGGGCTTCTCATCTCTTGTTCAGAGAAAAGCCACGAATAAATTTAGATGTTTTATGACTAAATAAATAAATTCGCGACTTCTGAATAATGTACATGTAAATTCTGCTTTATATTCGTGATCTTTAAGCGATTCAAGTAGTGATCTCTAGATGACGTCAAGTGGTACCATAACTTCAATATTAAGATTAAGATTAAATTCTTCAACGTCACACTAGGTCAGAGTTCTTCAACTCCGTCAGTCGCAATACTTGGAAGGACAATGTACACCGCTGTTATACCTTATGAAAACTACGAATACCTCGTATATACGATTTTAAATAACATGCACGATCACCGAATAGTGTCCATGAGTTCGACGTGTTCCCTATTCTCCTCTCGTTCGTTATATTTCTAAGAAAATTACCGACAATCACAGCGAGCCCCAACGTTATCGCACGAGTAGTTAACTCAACTAATTAATCAGGGGGGAGGGGGATATACTTCTTCCAAAGCGGCCGTGTTGTTAATAGCGTCTGAAATTCGTTCGAATCACTGATCCGACATAGATTATGCTCGATGACAACAGAAGATAATTAGTAGTCACCCGATCGTGTGCTGCGTCTCGATGGAAAATAGAAACGAGCTGGTGAATCCACGAATGTCCACGATACACGGTGTGAACGTCAAGTTTGGATTGTTGTAATTTCCTGGATCGAGATCGCCGTGACTGTACGCGATCAACCACCATATCAAGGCGAATCCTAGCCATGAAAGCAGAAAGTTCATCGAAAACACCAGGAGCGTCCAGCGCCATTGTGCGTCCACCAGCGTCGTGAAAATGTCCTGAAGAAATTGTATGCAAATGAAATTATATAAAAAATGATGACGCAAATATAGGTAAACTTCTAGTTTAGTGATTTTTCCTAATTTTGGTTATTTCGTTCCTTTAACAACAGATTCATTTTATCGCTAAAACAAGAAATCAATTCGGCCAAGTAATTCTTATTACTTAAAAGAAAAAACATATTAAAGAAATTGTAATAGGTAGAAATAGCCAAAATTGGGGAAAATCTTTAAACAAGAAATTTATCTAAGTATGAATTTCTTTGTATAATTATTCAAGAAAGTATTCGAATACTTGTTTGATCTTTTTATAATAAGTACAAACGATGTTTCTGATTGTGGAAGAAAAGAAGTGATACTACATAAAAAAATAAATTGAAAATAAAAAATAAAATTTACAGAGAAAATCAAGTTTGAAAATTTATCGCGTATATTAATTCTAGGCTGGAGAGAAATAAATTAACAGGAGATTATTCTAAAAAAAACAAAATTAATTAAAAATGTGGAATAATACTTTTTCATTTTTCAAGAAAATGGAAAAATAGATTTCGAATGTATATTTCGTTAAAAATTTCCTTAATGATAACTTTTCAAATTCGATTTTCTTGAAAATGAAGTATACAAAAAATACAAAAAAATTTTATTTTATATTTTTTATTTGTTTTTACATATAGAATAATCTTTTGTTAATTATTATTTTCTTTCTAATCTAGAATTAATAAAATACGAAGTTTTAGATAAAAAGATTATCTTTATTCTTTATTTTCGACTTATTTTTTTATGTGGAATTGTCTTTTCTCGATTGTACTATTGGAAACATCCTGTATTATGTGTGTTATGTATAATATTTTATTATACATAAAGTATTACACATAATATTATACACTGTAGTGAATACCAATTGTCATGATTATATTGATCAAATTTAAAACAAATCTAGAAATATATATAGACATTACAAGGTATAGATATACAAATATTATTTATAAATATAATACAAATATTTATTTATACAGAGTGTCCCTAATGTAAATACCAATACTCAGAAAACGTATTAGCCCTTAGGAGGACTAATAAACTAAGGAGAAAAATTTTTCAAATATTTGCTTCTTTTTGCTTTATTTTGAAGAAAATCATGTATTATCGTCTGTGTGATTTATTTAATGAAAATATTGTTTAAAATTCTGGCTTCTTACAACAATACATCATCATTGTTATTACATCAAACATTGATCGCATTGATTGTAGACATTGCTATGGTGATATTTGATGCACTGCAGCTGCAGTTTGATCTCTCTTGAGTTGATTGACATCGAATAAACTTTCTGAATAAATGGAAAAACAAAAACGTTTTTGTTTTTTTTTTTTCTTAGTTTATAGGTCTCCTACATTTTCCCGAAATTTTGATTCATTCTATGTAAATTTAACATGTTTAGGAACTCATTCAAACAATTTTTTAGTACATAAAATATTTTTAAAGAAACAAAAAAACTTTTCAAAAAAGGAAGAAAAAAGAATCTAGAATAATAAATCTAGAATAATAAAAGTAATCGATTTTAAAATAATAAAATTACTTAAAATTATAATAAAATAAATATATTAAAATTACTTAAAAAGTGCATCGAAAAATTACTTTCGTAGTGTAATATTAAAAAAAAAAAAAAAGACGAAAATTCACATGCACCAACTTAATTTTTAATAAATAAGCATTGTAAACTCGAATAATAGAAAGATCTCTAGAAGGACTGAGAAAGTGTAACAATCGTGCTAATTTTAACACGTTTGAAAAATAAACGTTTCTAGAGAATCGGAATATAGCGACAATTTGGCAAGTAATTGCATTCGAAAAATAGACCGAGACAAATCAAGTTCATCTTTGAGTGAAACGACGATATTGAACAATTTCGTACAAAAAGAAATCGTGAAACGTTGTTAAGCGATTGTTAGCTATCGTTGATGGAAATTCGTGAAATCACTTTGATACGTCGCACGTGTACGTTCGTGACGCGAGGCTGCTGCAGGCGGACTCTTTTAGAAATACTTTAAAATTACCTGAAGGTAACGACGACGTCTCTTGGCGACATTTCCTTGTACGACATTGCAGTCGCCGTGCTTGAAAACTACCCTTTTACGTATCCTTCGTGAGCTGAATCTTGTTTGCCGATATCTGAAAGCAAAGAGCTTCTTCAGTACCTTGCAACTAAAGTTTAATTACGTAGAATAATTAGGAGACTATTTCGTTGCTGTGTCATAAATTATTTCATTGCTTCAATCTGTAAACAATCAAGTTTTCAAACGACAAACTGTTAGATGATTATATATAATATTATATTAACATATTATAAAAATTTGAAAACAATCTGAAGTAAATTATCTTTACTTCGTTCATGAATTGTTTTTTTAATCTATAAACGTTTATAAAATATTCGAAGAAATATTGTTATAGTATATCATAAACATCTCAAAATAATCAAGCTAAAGCAAGTTATCCTTATTTTATTCGTGGATTAAGAACCGAATATTGAATCAAAATATGAATAAAAATTGTATACATTGTTGAAAGGTGAGGATAAAGTAATTCATATAATATTTCGTCAGAATAGAAAATATATCTAATAGATACTTTATAAAACTCTTATGTATAAGTATCAGAGGCATAAAACATTTCTTACCCTATATATAACAAGTTTAAATTTTCTTAAAATTTCATAAATTCAAAGCTGTAAAAGAAATAGCAACGAAGAAAATGTTGAATAAATCTGAAAGTTCTTTTTTTTTTTGACAACCACAATATTAATCCTCATTCGTCCCTCATTTTTGCAATTTAATGATTTATTTCTTAGGGTCAGAAAAAATCCTTTTATTAATAGTAAAAGGATTAAATTTCGAGTTGCTTGTGTATAAGTATATGTACGCAGATGTTCAATCTTATTGTACATTGTAATCTTACACATTTCATAAGAAAAATGTATCAAATTGACTCAAAAGATGTGGACGATTTAAAAAAAAAAAAAAAAAAACATATAATTTAATAACTGAACTAAAGACAAATTGCATATAAATAATTGTATGATCCTGGATGAAATTTGACGATTAGAAATTTTAACGGTGTACATACTATTTCTGCTCTCCATATGCCCCGCGAGAGACCGAGAACCTCTATTCTAAATCAGGCAGTCGTTTCCTAAGAAGGTCACTGACATCTTTCGTTCTTTTTTTATCGAGTTTACACGTCAGGCTGTTGAAACGTGTCGAATTGAAAAAAATCACGTCGCACAACGTTAAGTTTCGCGTGAGACGGAGAACGAGACGCCAGTTAAAAGCCTCCCACGGTTTCTCTAAGGCCGTTTAAAACGGTCGTATGGTCTGCACCGAAATACACTGAGGCTAGTGCCAAAGGACATAATTTACCGTCGAATGATTTTCGTTTGCGCCAGGATGGCCTGATCGATGGCAATCTGCCAGAAAATCGACAAACGAACGAGTCCTGATAGTTTTCCGCCTCTCCGTAAATCATTATCTTCGCGCTACCTAATTAAGAACCTTAATTTTCGAAAGCATCGTATTATAACCGACAATATACACGTGATAACTACGAATCATAGTACCATTTAACTCTCGAATTTTTATTTTTATTTTATTTTATTTTTTTTTTTTTTTTTTTTACACTTCAGGACAAATAAAATTAAACAGAAAGTTGTATATATCGACGAAGATTCTTTTCGAGAATAGAAAATTAGAAATATCGAAAGAACGCAAAATATTCTTCTAAATGTAAGTTTTTCGTTAGCTAAATTCTATTTTGTTTGACGGTTTTTTGTCAATTTTTTTATTTTATTAATGTGTGTTTTGTAGAAATGTTGTTTTCAACTGGCTTAAGATTATAATTACAATTATTACATGTGAAATTATAATGTTATAATTAAAATATAAATATAATTAATGGTCCAAATTAAGATAATAATTATAATGGTGAAAATTCGCTCATAATAAATAATATTGATCATAGTATTTGAAAGTATTTGGAAGTATAGAACTTATTTTTTGCTAATCAAATTGTGTGACGTAGCGAAATTAGTTGCTGCACTGAATATTCTACGTTCGTATCTATTTTAGATATCGAATTACTCAGTGTATCTTAGATTAGGCACTGACTCTGCTGCATTCTTTGATTCATTTTCGACCAAATTATATCTTTTAATCCCAGAAAATTTCTCAAAATTTAAGGAGAATACAAAACAACAATAATACGCAGTAATAGGCAGTAATAAGCATAATTTTTTATATCAATTGTATTTAAAATTTTTTTATTATTCCTAATTTCTATATTGAAATTAAAGAGATTGAAACATGACAAAATTGCATCGGTAATTAGAAATTAAATTTTCACGCTCCGAATATCGTTTTTTGAAGTTATTTTTCAAGCAGAAGCCAGCCGAGACACGTGGTATATTGAGTTTTGTTTGTCCTCCGTTATATTTTCGGCGACACATAGTTTTCATATTTTCATAGTTATTTAGAAAGTGTTTTACCATCGAATACATACTTCGTATTTGAATCGAAACTTCGTCGCGGAAAAGGAGAGTTTATCGAAATATAATAATCTAACAGTCTTTTTTAATTCGAAAATATCAGTGAACTTGATTTTTACTCACACGCTTTTTCGCTAATGCGAAACTAAGTATTGCGAAACCTGATATCCAAATATTTGGTCGTGTCTACTTTATATATTTTTGGATCGCTAACATTAGCTGAAACATCCATAGTACACTAAAGTCTTGTTAATATATATTATTGTAATATGTATTTTTCCATATTAAACATTTTTTAAAAATATTTATAAAAAGATACCCTTCAATTGCAATGAACTTGAAATATAATCAAGGTTATCAGCCTGATAAGTTGATCAGTACCGTAAAAGTTTGATTCAACGATCGCCATTTGTTAAAAAGTTGTAAGCAAAAATGGTTTAGGTAAATTTAAGCGGTTCCTTCGCCAGTTTGGACGATTTTTGGATATGTTCTGGTTTTCAATATTCTGAACAACTTTTTCTTACACGTGAGACATTTGCGAAACTGTCGATACCATTAAAGTGTATGCTTTGTTGCTCTAATTTTTATTTTTTTGTTTAGCCTAAATTTTGTTATGGCTGCCTATGCCGTAAAATGGCTACAAATATATGATACATTGCCACGGATATGCAACTGTATATTACAGTTATATAATGTCTGCAGAACAAAAAATGTGAAATATGAAAAAATATATTTTTACAAAACTATCCGTTAAATGAAAATATAAATAAAGAAATTAAATAAACTATTTCAAAGATATTGTTTTTGTTAATAATTTTTTTTGTTGAACAACGACCATTGAGTAAAACTTTCACGGTACTACTCTCGGTATGATGGCAATATGTTTCAAGATCATTACAATCAGAAGTTGGTATCTCTTTGTAAAAACTTTTCTCATCATTTATCGAAAATTCAGTCGTAAGTTTAACTTGTAGTTGGCTAGCTAAAATTTAACTTGCAATGGCTAGATTAGCTTCTATGTAGTTTAATTTTAAGTGATAGAGGCCAGGTAGCGGAGAAAACACAGATGTTGGGGAAAACCCAAACGTCATTGGACCCGGCGAACACGAATTACTGAAATTTATAATAAATTTTGTGAACGACTCTCGTTAATATTCAGATATACATATTAAATATTTAACTATTCAGATACATATTACATTATAATTTTGTAGAGTAAAGTCCAACAACAATAAATTTGGATTCATTTCAAAGCTTGAAGAGTCTATTCTCAAACTGTGTCAATGACTATTATTAATATTTGGATATTAAATATTTAAATTACCATCATTTCCTAGAGTAAAGTTGAACAGCAATAAAACCTGGATTCATTTCAAAGTTTAAAGCTTTTATTTTCAAAATGCATCGTTCATTTTATCATAAGATATTTTTACATGGTGTAAATCATTAGGGTTAGATGACAAAAATTCAAGAAATCGTAACATTTTCGTCGTTGTATGTATTCATTTTTGTCTCGGAAGTCATTATAAAGAGAAGGCTTCAATCTCTAAATACATTGTAAATTCAGTTACGAAAAAAATTTTTCAATATTCTTATATACTGTAACAATTTACAGCATTGTCAAGAAGAAAAGTCTCTTCACTTTCCCACTCACTGCATAATGTAAAGACATCTTAGAATAAAATGGTACGATTTGAAAATAGAGATTTCAAGCTTTAAAATAAATCCAGCTTTATTATTGTTCGATTTTGTTTTATGAAAGTATTTACAATTAGTGTTTAAATATTTGAATATTCTGAATATTAATGGAAGCCACTATAAGTTGATACTATATATTAATTTGATAAAATCTTACAAACATTTATAATATGAAAGAACATTCTTTAAATTTTTCTAGAATTAATTTTAATTTAAATTAAATGAAATTTTTTAACTTAAATTAAAAAGATTTTTTCTAATTTTTAAAAATCCTTTTAATTTTCTATAAGATTCTAAATTTATTCTAAGTTTATTCTAAAAAGCCTAAAACTTTTAACACTCTCTATTTAAATTTTCTTTCGCAGAATATGTTGAGCGATTTCAAATTTTAGGATATTTCAAACATGGAAAAGCGGATATCAAGACAAGTAGAAATCTAATATGTTGATTGACTATTATTAGATATTTAAACAGGATGTTTCCCAGGCCAAATATTTCAGGAAATTATTAATCTTTATTTAGAATATGTTCTATAGTTTTTTTACTCTATCGAACAAAATTAGCTCTACAAATATCAATGAGCATATTCCAATAAATATAAAAAATACAAAAGCTGATTGAAATTATTATTAATCTAATTTGTATTTCTTAATTTCTTATAACATTTGATAATAATTATTAATCATTATTATTTTATAATTTCTTAAGCATTATTATTTCTTAATAATTATTATCATTGTATATAATCACATATGTTAAAAAATGAAAAATATTTTTTATGAGAAAATTTGCAATCTAGATTTGTATGTACTCGTCCACTATTTTTTCTTCACGTGTTAATCGGCGCTATATTTCAGTCCAAAAATTTAAACATTTTTGCGAATATTAATTTTATTGTTAGATAAAAATATGTTCTTTTTCAAGAAAGAGATTATACTGGTATTGATATTTATTTATAGACTATTATTA